CAGGAGTGTGTGCAGAAGAGAAAATTTTGATCTACCGATCCCAAACTCTTCCTGCCAGTGCTTCCACACACAGCTCACCCTCCCTGATGCCTTAAACCTTCCTTCATATTCTGGAGCGGGGAGACAGAGTTGAGAGCCTGTCCTTCTGTCTCCTTATCAATCAATTGTGTAATAAACTGCTCCTTCTTTCCAAGACTAGTGTGCCATGGTATTGGCTTCTGTACGCATTGGGTGGCCAACGCTTGCTTGGTAACAGAAAAGCAAACGTAATTCACACAGCATGGCTGATTCTACCCAGCTTTCTTCCTGGTGCTTATGCTAAGTGAATATGATCTGATAGGCCTGAGGTGGCTGTCCCTTCACTCGTCTGTGTTCCTCAAGTGTGTCTCTCGATTCACTGGGATTGATTCTAGTATTTAATGGTACAGAATGCATTTTTTTTCATACTGCATGGCCTCTAAATGAAGCCAATAATTCTTATCTAGGGCTGCAGCAAAGACCAAGCAATTTGCTCTTATTTGACTGAGGGTCTTCGAGGAGTTTTCAAGGAGCACGTCACAAAAACATTTCTGACTCAATGTGATTTTCCCCTCACTTCCTTCAAGTCTCACATCTTACCCTCAGACCTGCCCAGATCACTCCCTTTAAAATTTCTGACCACAGCCTGACCCACCCCTGCATTCACAAATATCCTTCCCCTGTGCTAGCTTGTTTTTTTTGTTTTGTTTTGTTTTGTTTCCAGGAAGATTAGCCCTGAGCTAACATCCACCACCAATCCTCCTCTTTCTGCTGAGGAAGATTAGCCCTGAGCCAACATCGGTGCCCATCACCCTCTACTTTATATGTGGGACTCCTGCCACAGCATGGCTTGCCAACCTGCGCATAGGTCCACACCTGGGATCCAGGATCCAAACCGGTGAACCCTGGGCTGCCAAAGCAGAACCTGCAAACTCAACCACTGTGCAACTGGGCTGGACGCTGCTAGCTTTCTTTTTTACATTGCGCTTAGAACCTCCTAATGTACTATATAATTCACTTATGATATTTATTGTTTATTGGAAGTATTCCTTCACAAAACGCAAGCTTCATAGGGAGTATTTGTTGTTTGATTCAAGGATGTTTTCCAAGTACCTAGAACAGGGCCTGGCTTCCAGGGGGCACTTAGTAGTATTTGTTGAATGAATGCAGGTATGGATTTTCAAGAGTGGTGCCCTTAGAACGTCACCACTGGATAAGCTGTGACTCCTCCATTATATGTTAATAAGCCCTTGTGGCAGATAATCATGTTTCCTGTAAGTGTTTTTAATCCATGTTCTTGTCTGAGCGTTATCCTTAATGTAATACAGAAAGTTGTAGTTAAAAAAAAAACTTGGAATATATCATCTAGTTTTTAAATGATTTTTTTAATTTGTAAAAATAAACAGAAATAACTAAGATAAGGAAATATGAATTAATGAAGCAGGAGGGAGAAGGCACATTAAAAAAAAGACAATCTTCTGTAGAAACCAGAAGAACAAAAAAAGTTATCCACAAAGATGTCAAATTAATAAAAGTACCTGAATTTTCTCAGTGTCAGAATATGATATCTTCACTGCAGCATTTTGGCTATTCATTCTCAATTATTTTAACCAAAATGTTATTTGCAGTAGTTCAAACTATAAAATATTTACAGATAGCATGTGTGTTATGTTGAAGCATCTATTTATACAGTTTGTATCATCAGAAGAATCTTCTCTTCCTCTAAATGTAATCTCATCGGCAACATTGCTACTTGACTACATCTATTCATCTTCTATCCTGTTTTAATAACACAAGTGACACCTAAGAAATTATTCTTTGATCTTTCAATAAACTAAGCCTGTGTAGACAGAGGAAGGTGAAAGAGGTTAAATTGGCATTGATTACTGAAGACACATTCATCATTTATTTAACAATCTTCCTCATCACAAGAACTATTGTGTTTATAAGCTCTTGTTGATACACTCTGAATTTATTTTTCAAATAATCCTTGCCATGTGCATTAGGAATCAGAGCACATTGTACGCTAACATTAGTTTCAAGTCTCCTGATACAACTGATGTAGGAAAGAAGTAGTTTATTGTACAAACCTTTGAACTTAATGACTCTAGTGGATTTTTGGAAATTTGTTTTAAGAGTTTTCATTATAATTAATGTCTTCTGGGGATTCTATTTCTTATCTTAAGCAAAATGTGTAGCAACAGTTATCTTTTCAAGGAAATTATATTAATGGATACTTGTAGTCTCTTACATTCTGACATTCACATCATTGAAACATGATCTGTAATGATCCGTAAAGAACAATTGTGGCTAATATTGACAACTTTAGGAAAAAAGCAAGAGAGTATAAGAATCATCCATAACATACAAAATTTCTACAAGATTTTTCCTTATTTTTTTCTGACAAATACTACTGCAAATTATAAATAGATATAGTGTATATATGTGGGTATTGAACAATTAAAATAATGTCAGACTCTACTTCCTGAGAAAAATGTGCAAAAATATTATAAATCAAAGGATAATAAATGATTATTATTACATATTAAAATGTGGAAAAATATTTATATATAGATAGTGAAAAGTATAGAACATATCCCAGTCATGGAAAAAAATCACACTATTGATGAATCATATATTCCAAAGAGTCACACAATTCATCATATTTAAAATGCTTTACTTATTTTTAATTTATTTAAAATACTTCCCACCCCAGTGTTTTCCATACAAAACACCCTAAAGTTTATTACTACAGTTCCATCTAATTACTGGAGTAAGGTTTGATATGCATATCTTCTTAATTAGGTTACTGATTCTGATGATTATGGCCTAGACTACATCACTAGTATGAAACATGAAATCTTCAGAGCAGAGTATTATTCCATGCTAATGACAACCCAAATCATAACGGACACTTGTACAAGAGGATCCTTTAAGGACTTACCACCAATAAATTATTATTCTTTATCCTTAATTCAATCCAGTAAAACATGTTAAGCTCTCACTATCATATATGAAAAGAAGCTACGAACAAGGAAGATTTAATAAGGATTAACTATGTGCATGGCTTTATTTTTTAGGTTTATTTACACATTTAGAGAACTAAATAGTTTGATATAGGAAATTTTGTAGAAACAAGAATATTATGGGGCATAGAGAGGCCAGTACATAAGAGGCTGCTGGGAGCTACAGCCTCGTTGTCTCCCCACAGGCACCATTCATTTCTCAGCAACCACTTTTCACAGCAGTCACTGACAGTGCTATAGATCTCTTACATTCTATACGTACAGTCAGCCATTTAGAAATTTAGAATTCAGTCTCCCAAACAGCATTTCCCTAAATTGAGTAAAATGGAATATTTGAATCCAAATGCATAAGTGTTTTCCCTTTTCCTTGTTTTAAAAATACCTTACTTTTAATAATAGACTAGACTTCCACAAAGATCATGTGGTAGTGAGCAAGTGACTTCACTTTTCTGGAACTCAGCTAATTTATTTGAAAGTAAATTTGGGTTTGGAAGTAGGTGGATTCAGAGCTAACTTGTAGCTTGTATGTTATATGATTTTGTTGTGTTTGAATAAGATTTAATGGGAACTGTGGATTTATTACTTGTTGGACAGTTCTGTGCCTTGCTGATTTAAAAATACATATATTATTATTTGTAAAATACAACCTGGGTTTATATCCTAGGGACTGATACACAAATAACATGTACTGAAAAATTTTTAAACAGAAAAAAGGATTCCCCCAAAAGATATCAATATTGAAATACTTGTGGTAAAATCTCTTTGAACTTAATAAAAATAATTTCTTTTAAAAAAATATGAAGCATTAATGTCATTTAAATAATATATAACATTGATATTCAGGAAGTATTATAGTCACAATGTTGGTATTGGAATATTTAGGTATCCAGAATAAACACACATTAAAATGAGTGTAACAGAAAAATTCAAAAGAAAAGCATAGCTTTTAATGCTTTTTAAGCTAAAAAATAATGTATATAAACATCTGGAAACAATTTCTGATAGAATTCAAAACTTTGTTTCCTAAAAGAGACAAGAAGCTTTATATAAAGTATATTAATCTACTTTGCAAGGCAACACAAAAATAACATTCATATTTATATCACGAGAACCTACAGATAAACATACATTTTATCATTATACACCTTCATAAAACAACTTAAAATGATCTCTATTCTATTTACATTTGTCAAGAAAGTGATAAAATATCAAGAAAAGTTTTTAAAAAGAAGAGGGAGTCCTCACAAATGTTAAGTACAAGATAAAGAAGCTAATTCCTTTATTTTTTCATCAAAAGGAAATTTAAAGTCATGAACTTAGGCACAATGAAAATTTCATAGCTCGTTTAAGGTAGGTATTTGAATCAAAGTTATCCAAAAATCGTCCAGAAGCAATCTTGTATTAAAGCATGTTTTACAATCCTATTTTGATAATTCAACAAGTATTTCATCCTAAGAAAAAATGCTAACTTCCAATTAAATTACTTTCTGCAGCCTGCTCTGAAGCCCAAGAGCTGAAATATTATTGCAAATTTCTCTACAAAGTTGTTTTTTCTTCTATGTGCCACAATGGAAAAATCATGTGCTTGGCCTTCGGTGACTGCAAGCTTAATAACTCCATTCAACTGTTAATAAATAAATTAGTACTTCCTTAAAAATAAATTGTCCTGGTATTCTAGCATGTATCTTCCACATGTCTTCAAATTCACTAATTCAAAGACTGTATTAGAGATGTTGGTTTAAAAAAATTAATAAGACATTGGTATGCTAGTTGATGCCTATAATTACCTTGTTCAGTTCCAGAAGTATTTGGGGATTATTTAAGAGCAAAAGATGAACGGTGCATCAGGAAATCCTATTAAATCAATGCATGGACATAGCAGCAGCAGAGGTAAATAAGCTGTGGAGGTCTGAATACAAATAAAGAAGATAAAAAAGGTTTTATATAGCTACTTACATCGTAGCCTAGAAGTTCAGTCTGTGTGGATTTATCTACTCTTGAAGCAAAGGCCTTCTGTAAATGCTTGACTTTTTCCTGTAGGAAAAAAAAAAATAACACAGAGAGTCATGTGCATCTATACTAATATTCCCCACTTATTAAGATTTGATTAGTGTGCATTTCATGATTTTCTGTGTGTATGCTTTGCTCTGTTAGTGCTCTGCATATGAACTTAAATTTTCAAAGCTTTAATTTTCAGGTCATAACTACTCCACCTTTGGCATCTGTTCTTTTTGTACAGGAACCACTGAGTCAGAACCATAGTTGAATGCTAGAGAGACATAATTTGCTTGAATCTGAGACCAAATGCTTATCCTATGTTTCTTAGCAACTATTTTTTGTAAATTAGATTGATATGATTTTATTGATCTAGTTTCAGAGCATTTAAAATCCAAAACATACTCAATAAATAATACCACCCATCTATTTAGTTTTTAGGGTTTTGCTTCACTTCTTAATCCTTTGCTCCTGGAATCTACACCTTTAGGAATCTAAAGGGATTTGACACTAATCTACTCCTGTTACCACTAGATAAGGGAAGTAATACACAAGACAAGTTTGGGATTTCACATCCCCAATGCAAATATATGAATTCTGGTCTTCTAATTTGACTGGGCTTCTGGCTGGGGGCTTCTCTTCTCATTCCTAAATGTCTCACTTAAAATAAAATGGGATCTTGAAATGTATAAACACCTACTGGTTCAAACTTGCCTAAGGAGAGATAAATGAAAGGGACAATAGTGAGGAATGACACTAGAGTGGTAAATCAAGTCTATATCAGAAAGCACAGAACTCTATGTCAAAGGATTTTAGAGTTTTCTTCATTTTTGAAATATTATTTTACAATTAAAGGCCATAAAAATATTTTAACTAAATTACAACAGAACTTATTTAAATACTTCCTTTCACTTTATACAAAAAAGAACCAGAAGGAAGCAATATAGAGAAGAAAAACAGTTGAAGTATATCGAAGTTTTTCTGGACCAATTAATTTACCACATGTGATTTAATGTGGCTCTCTTTCAGTCTTTTCCTATGTAAGCAAACAATTCCTTTTTCTAAGCTCTCTCAGAGGGATAGGGGAAAGTAGAAACAACTCAATTTCCAGCAGATACATTTTATAAATAAATCTATACTCCTGACAAAATATTCTATTGCCTTTAAGATTTTCCTTCCAACAACGACAACATCAATACTTAAAAAAACACACCCTTGTTTTTTTCTCATTTAAGATTAATAAAACGTAAGTGTGCTTAGAATAAACAAAAAGAAAAAACACTAGCAGATTATGTAAAAAATAGTAACCAAAAGGAATAAAAAAGAGCAATTTCATTATTTACACTTGCTGTTTAATTGCTGCCTGATCTGAGTCCTGAATATGTGGAGGTTTTGAATATTACATAATATTGCTATCTGAATAAAAAATACGTAATATAGTTTTTTTGTCTCCAAATTTCAAATTATTTCATCTGACATTAAGAGTAATATAATGACATCTGTTTAATAAAAGTTAGCTACCATAAATAAGTGCATATAAACCAAAGAAAACAGATAATTTACAAACTTACTTGGAGTATGTACCTGTGTTCACATTCCCTCTCCTTCTGTAATCTTTATTACAACAATAATAGATGCCATTAACAGAATATAGGCGTACGCTAGGAACTGTAACACATAATATACATGAGTCCTCTCAAGAACATACAATGTCTGGGTTATTGTCCCTTTTTAAAAGAAAAGGAAATTGACAATTGGTAAGTTGAAATCTGTTGCTAAAGGTCACACAAGCTAGTAGTAAGTGGAACAGTCAAGATGAAAACTGCTATCTGTCTCCAAACCGTGGTGCCCTTTCTATAAAGATATTTTGACTCTGAAAAAGCTTACAAGTAGTGTTGCTGCTCCCATTTCACATATGCAAGGAAACATACCAAATGTACACTTTTTATAGTTGCTACACAGCTAATAGGATAATTGATGTTCACCTAGCCTGTATCTCTCGCAGACTCTATCAAGTCATTTTGCTTTACTGTGAAAACAATTTAAGATTGCCTAAGATTTACCAGTTTGTTTCCTCTAAAAGCTACAATTCCACAGAATACCCATTACTATAAATATGATCAGCAATGCATTTTGGAGCATGAGTTAGGAATAAAATGGTAAAGTTAATATAGAGTTATAACACAAAATTGGAAGCAAGATGTGAAAAAGCAAACAAATAAAAATTTAATGTTGAGTTGGCCTGAAATCCTTTTGATAGCAATGATATTATCAGTTCAGAGTAATCTAAAAATATATTCTGTTTAAGCTGTTAGAATCATTTCGTGTGTGTGTGTTTTACGCATTAGATATTCACAGAGTCTACCTCCACAATATATACTGTCCATATAAAAAGGCTAGTTCCTAATTTCTTTTAGAATTCTTAAATTTAAATTTCATCAGTCAAAAATATATATCTATTGAATGCCTGAGCCTAAAAAACAAACTGGGGAGGCCAGCCCGGTGGTGCACTGGTTAAGTGCACACATTCCACTTTGGCGGCCTGGGGTTCCCCTGTTCGGATCCCCAGTGCGGACACGGCACCACTTGGCAAGCCATGCTGTGGTAGGCATCCCACATATAAAGTAGAAGAAGATGGGCACTGATGTGAGCTCAGGGCCAGTCTGCCTCAGCAAAACAAAAGAGGAGGATTGGCAGCAGATGTTAGCTCAGGGCTAATCTTCCTCAAAACAACAACAACAACAACAACAAAACCCAAAATAGGTACCATTGATACATATATATTTTTGCACTTGCGTGTGTGCACATGTCATTGAGGAAGCACTGAAGAGGACAAATGTGGTAAGATAAAAAACAAGACAGCGGCCAGGCCAGTGGCACAGTGGTAAAGTTTATGTGTTCCACTTTGTCAGGCTGGGGTTTGCCGGTTTAGAATCTGGGCGTGGACCTACACACCACTGATCAAGCCATGCTGAGGCAGCAACCCACATAGAGGAACGAGAGGGATTTACAACTAGGATATACAACTGTGTACTGGGGCTTTGGGGAAGAAAAAAAGGAAGATTGGCAACAGATGTTATCTCAGGGCCAATCTTCCTCACCAAAAAATATTGAAAAAAAAAAAGACAAATCGTGACAAACCAGTACAACTGGCTTTTAAAATGAAGCCTCAAGTGACTAGGGAGGAGAGTACTGGCAGTTATTTATTCTTATTTCAGAATATATTTGGATTTATTTACGTTATTAGATACTCTCTTGATTAACAAAAGTTATGAATAATATTTAAAATTCTAGCAGTTTAATAATCTACATGATTTATTTTTACTTTAGAAATTAATATCTATTCATATCTACTAGAGCTGTTTAAAAAAATTATGCATGTTAAACTAAGTACAATACATTAAACTGAGAAGAAATTATTCAATAATCTCAAGATATAACTATATTTTATCTTAAATTATTATTTTAATTATCTATACAGATGAAATTCATCTGCAAGATGATAAAGGATGAACTTTTAAAAAATATTACATGAGGGCCTACTTGCAGTAGTTAGTTTTAGAATCTATAATGAAAGGAAAAGTACTCATTAATAAAATTAACAAAGACTGATATAGGAAATATATGTAATAGTGATTACAGCACTACTATACGATTATGTGCCTTCAAGCTGAAGGGGAAAAAAAGCATCTGGGTTGTTAAAAAAGCAAGTTTCGCAAAGAGTAGCTTTGAATTGGGAAAGGAAATATCTTAAAAATGTAAAATAATACAAAGACTGCTTAAAATAGTATAATCCTAAATTGGATCCTAAATTATGGATCTAAAGGTTAAAGTTTACGCAAAGAGAAATAGTAACGAAAGATTCACACTCTAAAAGAGGAGAAAAGCTAAGTTCTACAATTGAAAAGTAATGTAATTCACCCAGGAAAATTCACAAAGTGTTCTGAGTCAAGTTTAAACTGGAATTTGGTAGGTCAAAAAGAATTTGAACATATTCTTGTAAGGCACTTCAATGTCAATAATAAAAGATTATTTAAACAAAACAAAAGCAAAAAACTAATGGGAAAATCATTAGGATTGCTTAATGATACCAAGCCCAAGGACGAGCTCAGGAATGGAAAGGTCACGTTATAGAGATCACATTGATTATTTTCACCCACCCTTAATAAGGGCGTATCACTGAAGATCTCAGTAGAATCATAAACAAGCACGACGGTGACAAGGAAATCAAACCTCCTCACATAGACCATAAAATTTCTTAGGACTATCAAGAAAACATTAAAATGCAGTACTACTTTCTCACTTTTTAACATGAAAAATTGCTAACATATAACAAAAAGGAGGGAGAATAACACCTAGAATCCCTATGCGCTCATCACTCAATTTCAACAACGGACATTGGAATGGAAGTAAGTATTATCATCAGCTATATACTTAAATAGCTGCACTGGTCAGTATTGTCCTTCAACTTAGCTAAGAGGTGTTTGCATTAGAGGACCCTGCTCTGCAGGAAATGTCAGTAAATCAATAAAGCAAACATCTGGAAAATACATTTATTCTCATCTGAACTTATGATACCTGAACTAGGAAATTGTCTGACATCCTCCACTATCTACCACTTTGAGACTGCATTGCAGGTGATTTTTTGAAGAATTGAGAGGATATATCATTACACAGCATAATTTAAATTTATGGAACTCATTACCCATAAGACATTGTACAAACCAAACATATAGGCAGATTTAAGAAGAGTTTATGTCACTTCATTTAAGAAAGAGATAGATGGACCAAAAATGCAAATTAGAAATTTTTATATCTTTGGAGATTGAAATCCTTAGAGATGATTTCCACATAACCCAGATAACTGCATGCAATATTCTAGATGTAAAGCATGCAGCCTTTTTCTCCCCAGAAAGAAGTGAATGATGATTTCTATTTCAATTCTAACATTACTTTTCTTGTTCCTGACTTTTTTTTCAAATAGCACATTGTACTATATTAATACCACTAAACTAATATGTATATTTGATTTCTTTAGT